TCTCTCTCTCTCTCTCTCTCTCTCTCTCTCCACATCTGACAGTTGGAGGGCCTTGTTGTTGTCATCAGAGGTGAAGGACCACGGGTGACCTGACCTTTGGTGGAGCACCATCTTGACCTTGAGAATTTTTTCAAGTCTTTCATTGTTGATGAGCTTATCTTGTCATCCTGGATAGATGTGCTGTAGTGAGACACTTCGCTGACTTAGAATGACAAAGCTCTGTCTGACATTTATGGCCGTTTTTTTGTTGCTAAGACCACAAAGTCAGAAACCGAAGGTTGTGTCTGCTCTGTCAAAATCGTTAGATTATTTGGAGTCGTTTTCAAGTTATTCAAAGAATTGCATTCGAAAAAGCTTGACTTGTGAAACTGAAAATTTCTAACGTCAAATTTCTCAAATCTAGATACTGAGCAGACAGAACGTTGTCGTTCTAGGATAGCAGCATGTTATTGCTACATGCTGTAGAGAGACATGTGTCATTGTGATTGTTATTTGCTGTAGTGTATGCGTTACTTTTATTGATGCGTGCTGTAGTAAGGTAAAACATGTGTTTTAACATTGTGTGAATGAGACGTGTGTTGTTATTGGTCATTGCTTTAGTGAGATGTGTGTTATTGTTATTGTTGTGTGCTATAGTGAGATGTGTGTTAAGTAGTGTGTTGTGTGAGAGTGAGATGTGTGTTATTGTTATTGTTGTGTGCTGTGGCCAGATGTGTATTAAATAGTGTTGTGTGAGTGAGACGCGTGTTAATGTAGCGTTGTACGTACACATGTTAGTGAACAAGTGAGAGGTTTGTGAGTATTATGTGCTGTACAGTCATTTCTTATTTTGTTGTGAACTGGTGTCAGGAGTGTATAGAGATAGGTTTTTGGTGGACGATCGTACAAAACGCCATGTCTCATGCCTGAAAGTATCCGAGTAGGAATGTGATTTTTGGTTGTTTATTGCTTGCATTTTCTGGGGGTCAGAATTTTCTCAGCATCAGTGGGAAAAGAAAAAAATCTTCAAATTTTTCTCAGCCAAGGTCCTAAAGACTTGTGGAAATTGGAATGGCTAGTAGTATTTGGCTAACGTTGCCAGTGTCTCATTTCTTATGAATGTAACGTCAGGATATTTTTTTTTTGGGGGGGGGGGGGTAAGGGTTTTGC